CCTTTCGATTCGTTTCAACTTATGATACGAAAACTATTATTTGACAAATTTTTGGAGAAAAAAGATATAGTCAAATGGCTTCTACCTCGTTGGTCCTCGTAGTCATAGACATTAGCAAACAACTGCATGTTGTTATTCGCTATATTAGAATCAGGCAGTTTACGGGAATATAAAGCTCTTCATGATGCAGTAGGGTTTGTATTACAACGATTTGAAATTGCAATGTTTATTATAAAGTTATATTTTGATTCCTACAAACTTTTATAAGTATGTTTACAGAAAATTATAATTATAGATAAAATTGAAATTTACAAGATTGTATGTTAACTCCTCGTTAATGTTCCATTCAATTATAATGAATACGTGATCAAGAAGAGACACCACGTCCTATTGCTTCTTACATTGTGTTGGCTCTAGATTAGTGGAAAATGGAATACAGAAAAAGTTTTGAGTAATTGTCTATTTTTTTTTTACAAATATTTATTTCAAAATCAAGATGCACATTTTACATAAAATTCAACCATACATACTGGTCTCTATCTTTCTTAATGCAGGATAAAGCATCAACAATTCCAATTGATGCTAACTCACTTTGACTTGAATCGCAGACTGAGAGAATCTTACTTGATTAGAGATTTTTATTGGTATCTTTGTTTATATTGGTGAATATAGAAATGATTTTCCATGGACAATGCTCACCTTATGGGTTCAAAAAAATGTCAGCCCGTTGTTTGGAATTGCTAATATATGATATTATATCTTGGAAGTGAAGAGAATATGATCTATGGCACTTCATACTTATGATGCAACTCAAGCTTTCAAGTATAGCAATCTACACGTGATTTGAGAACACATCAATTTGAAGATATTAGCTTGTTTTGGCACTCAGCCTTCCAAGAAAGACTACAATGGAGTAAAACAAGTCTTGCATCATGTCAAAAGCAGTCAAGACAAAGGTGGAGTGAAAATTTATAACATTGGATTTGATGATGGATGCAATCTTAGACTGAGAATGTCTTTTTTTCAAAAGTGGTCATTTTTTTGGAAGTCAACAAAGAACGGTAGCAGCAGGGGTACATAGGAACATACATCACATCTGCTTGACTGAGTACATTTTGTGCACACTTTCAATGAGAGAGAGAGAGAGAGAGAGAGAGAGAGAAATTATCCCGAATTTAATCCCTACTGAGACATCTCGCTGGCAGTAGTGTGACTCGTCTGCGGGCTTATGACCAGAGACATTTACCTGCATATCATCAAGCCCTGTGCTATCCTTGCTTTATTGCAATATCAGATCAGATCGTTTCTCCGCGTACAGCCGCTTAACAAGTTGCACTCTCTTTTATGGCCTTTCAGAAGCCCAGATTGACTTTGTTTTAGTCTCTCTTGTATCCTACTCAGGCCGTAATAGCCAGTAGGGTTGTCTTTCTTCTGCTGTGCACGCCACCATGGACCTTTTTCTTGCACACAGGAATTGACATCTTAATCTGGCATATTACCCAGTTGTCCCTGAATCCACCCTCATCATAACACTCCAGCTTCCATGTGAGAAAACGGCATCTGCCCAATCGATGAGAAGTCAACTTGTCCTGCAGAAAGATTCTACATAATGCTGAGAATAAGAATGAAGTTCACTTGGAGGATGAATCAAACAGTGCCGATGTATGCTGCATTAGACTGGATGTATCCAGCTAGTCAAACGTGGGACCTGCAAATCAAACTCATCGAGAATGTAGGGATTTGCTCGGAGTAGATCTACAATCTTCTCTCTTCTTCTGATGATGAGGGCAAGTACCAAGATCACGATGGATCCGATTTGGGATTATGTGCTTAGATTGAAATGGAAAGCATGTGACGCATTTTGGCATAAGTTTCTCAAATGTACCTGTCCATCATGAAGGTCGAAATACTTACACACGTCTGTCTCGTCACATGTTGGCATTGTTCTTCGGTGCGATGCAGACACAATACCACCTCGAATCGCAATACGAACTCACTCTGTTCCAAACAGAATCATGGGAAGTTCAAAACCACAGCCGAGGGAGAAAGTGCTCTTGAAATCATGACTCCTCGTAACACTCAAGCTGTCTGCTTATACTAGGATACCTTATCGTGTGCTGCTACATAAAAAAAGTCGAGCCCCTACTGCTCTGTATTCTCGTTGTCTCATCCTCCGAGACTAAGATGAGCGCTATCCATATCAGCACTGAACTTTCTGCCGAGACAAGAGTTCAGAAATGGCTTTTAATATTTGTCAAGGACACCGAGGAGGAGTTGTAGGTTACATCATATTTGGGGATATAGCAAAATAAGATGGCATCGACAACCCCTTTTCAGTTTATGTCAGACTACAACCATTCCCCTTGCGGCAGATGTAATGGTAGCTGATATTCGCGGAATATTATTATCTGATAAGTACAGTAGAGCATGCCACTCTTCCACACCCTTCATCAAGATTTCTCGGCCTCATATGATTTGATATGAGCTAGTACCGAGGTCAGAATATCATATAACCACCTTTTGGCTGGCATAGTAGTGGTAACCAATAAAAGGCCACTGTATACCAGGATTACTATTTATGCTAGTGAGATGACCTAAGCTCAGCCCAGCGATTGAATGCATGACATCCTAGCAGAAAATGTGGACTCAAATGCCCCGGTAGTTTTAATCACACTTTTGTAGTCCACTGTAGCACCATGGGAAAAATAATGTCAAGAATAAAGAAGTCTTATCTAGGGAGCTCACGGAAAGAATAATAGTGTGGTTGAAGGGTGGCCTCAGAAATTTAATTTTATCTTATGCCTCACACTCCTCCATTGAAATATCCATGTGCAATACAATAAAAGAATGTTTTGGAATATGTGTTTTATCTCAGGTGATCTTGTTGCTTCTAGTTCTGTAAGATTATATCTTGTCTTGTTGCTTACTATGCTATAGAGAAGTATTCTGAAAAATGTCAAAAATCAATAAAAAAATAGTTATTTTTTTCTCCTCATAGGCAACATATAGGCATATTCAAATCATTCATGGAATGTTTTTCTCAAGTGTGTCTTATACTGACATAAAAAATATCAAGTATCATGTATTAAACTGCCACTCAATGTTTTAATAAATGCAAAAGTTTCATCTTTTTCTTTAATTGCCCTCCTCATGGAGAATCTGAAACTTATGGCATATATCTAAGAATATAAAACCAACGTGTATAAGAATCTCAGAAGTAACATTTTTATGCCGGGATTAAGTAGTTTTGAAACATATATAGATGAAGTGTTACTCATTAACAAATTAAATTAATTTGGCCCACTTGTATCATAAAAAATATTTTATAAATATTTAGTTTGTTAATAAATACTATAAAACCAAAATTTAAATTTAAACAAGAATTGAAAATTCGATTCTGAAAAAGATGTGTTGGATATCGTGCGCTGGAGTCTCTTTTCCACGAAATTTTGATATATAGAATTAAATGTAATTCAGTGAGAGAATTATTTACATCATCATTCCAGTATGTTATTTCCATTCATATACTTTCACTTCCATCTCTTTATATACCCATGTGGCCCTTTACATTCAAAAACCATAACTAATTTCATTATGAACCAACCTGATGATGGTGATGTGTAAGGGTCTGTACGAACAAACTAGCATGTCACAAAATGTTCATCACACCAACTTAGCAACAACTTTCCAACAAATGGGAATGGTCTAAAATGAGGACGTTGGACCTTAAGAAGGGGAGCCAAGTGGATAGCAAAAACGAAGGGAGCGTTGGAACTAGCTCAAAAGTCATGGAAGGATACTTTTTGGCTGCGGGTCACTTGACCAAGGAAGCCGGACATTTTCAAGAAATTAAAACCGGCTTATAAGAATAAGGATAATACTAAATACTGGTTGTCAAGGCGAGGCAAAAAGGATTTTCCCCGTACCGCGCACGCTGCCTCTCGTACAATCCTCTCGTACAATCCGTGGCAAAGAAAACGGTTGGATTCCCTCGGCCCGCAGAGGTAGGCTTGGCCACGGTCCGGTTAACGGTTAACCGGTCCGGGAAATGTGCGGACCGGTTAACCGGTCCAATTAACCGGTTAACCGGTAAGTTAACCGGTCCGGCATTTTGCCATATCGGTTAACGGTTAACCGAGGTTTTAACCGGTTAACCATCTGTCCCGACCCTACGTGGCCGACGGGAGGGGCTGTGACCGGGAGCGAAGGAGGAATTGCGCAATAGCTCGAGTATTCAAATGAGCCCCCACTCGGACTGTTGAAAATCCTCCCGGTTGAAAACGCTCTCGAATTGGAGAGACTTCGACTTTGCGCAGGGAAGCTGGAGAAACACATCCGAGCTCGAGATTTATGCTAGGGATTATCACTTATCGAATTGGGTGATAAAAAAATTTACTTATTTATTTGCAGCAGAATTAGACCAGCGAGGCTCGCTGGTCTAATTCTGCTGCCAGAGGAAATTTTTTTCCCCGGACCGGTTAACCGGTCCGGAGAAATCTGGGACCGGTTAACCGGTCCCGACGGTTAACCGTCGGTCCGGACCGGACCGTCGCCAAGCCTACGCAGAGGGCAGTCGAAACGCTTAACGTCATGCTCGGAAGGTCAGATGGGGCCCGAGGGCCAACAGTCCCGGCACCGGCACTACAAGGAGCACTGCGACGACGCGGCAGAGGTCCGTCGTCGCAGCTGCCGAGAATCCCCAGCGTCGAGATTCCGGAGATCTTGGAAAGGCAGCAGGGGAACCGGAGTACAGTACAGTACACACAAGGACGGGAGGTCGCCGATCTTCCGAGACAGGGCGAGAGACTCAGCCGGTACGCCACAGTCTCGCCGGTGACGCTCATCCGGGCCTAGCTCCGTATCCTTTCCCACCTCTCGACTCTCGCCCGCGAACTCCCGACAACATTCGGTCAAACGTGCGAGGTTCGGATGGCGTCCCGGTCGCCCGTGGGCACGAACCGGCTGCGGTCGACCGACCCGGAAAGGGGGAAGGTCAATGCCGACGAGGCAGAGAATGAGACCGAACCCGCGGAGGGGAGGGAAGGGGAAGGGGGTGGCAGACGACGAGCGGAGGTGGGGCCCGAGCGCCGAGAGGAGCCAAGCGATCGCGTATGTCGTTGCGGAGCTTGCAGGGGATGGTGGACATTCGCGCTGTCACAGATTGTTGGGGCGAAAATGAAGGGGCGGAGATGCTGCATTGGCAGCTGAGCAGGACAGTGGCCAGGTTTTTGTTGGTCTCGGGGGTCCTGCTCTGTTCCCCCGCCCCCACTGACCGCTCGCCTTGCCAGATTTAAGCCCCGTTCCCACCCGCTGTTTTCCATCTATCTATCCATCTCACTCCGATTCTCTGGCCCTTCCTCCGAAGCGAAGATTCACCTTGTCTCCGAAGGGGAGGGAGGAGAGAGGGAGAGAGAGAGAGAGAGTCACAGGAGGATTAGACGAGAGGAGATTCGACGCGAGACTGGGCTTCTGCATCCGCTTCTGCTGCTGCTGCTGATGCTGAGGCCACAACTGGAACTCGACGCGGAAACCAGCAACTTTCAGTGTGGGCCGGGGGAATTGGAATCTCAGGGACGCGAATGATCGTCGGCGCGAAGGAATTAGAGCCGGGTAGCGCAATCCGAGAGGCGAGCGGGGCGCAAAGATGGCGTTCGCGGGGTGCGTGGAGGGGGACGCGGCGGGCTTGGCGAACTTGCTGACGGCGGGCGGGTCGGTGAACAACGAGAGCGCATTGGCCCTGGGGCAATACATTTGTGAGAAGTTCGATGGCGTCTCGGCGGCGCTGGGCGCCCACACGCTGGCCGTGGACAACACATACCTCCTCTTCTCGACGTACCTCGTGTTCTCGATGCAGATCGGATTCGCCATGCTGTGCGCGGGGTCGGTGCGCGCGAAGAACACCATGAACATCATGCTCACGAACGTGCTGGACGCAGCGGCGGGCGGCATCTCGTTCTATCTGTTCGGATTCGGGTTCGCCTTCGGGCGCAGCGGCTCCAACAACGGCTTCATCGGGAGCAACTACTTCGCGCTGCACCGCGTGCCCAACGCGGCCAACGGCTTCGACTACAGCTTCTTCCTGTTCCAGTGGGCGTTCGCCATCGCGGCGGCCGGCATCACCAGCGGGTCGATCGCGGAGCGCACGCAGTTCGTGGCCTACCTGGTGTACTCGTCGTTCCTGACTGGGTTCGTGTACCCGATCGTGGCGCACTGGATGTGGTCGGTGGACGGGTGGTTGGGCGCCGCGGCCAATGACTCGCGGCTCTTCAGCGTGGGCGCTATCGATTTCGCAGGCAGCGGCGTGGTGCACATGGTGGGCGGCATCGCGGGCTTCTGGGGCGCGTTCATCGAGGGCCCGCGCATCGGGCGTTTCGCCAAGAACGGCGCCAACGGCATGGACATGCGCGGGCATAGCGCCTCGCTCGTAGTGCTGGGCACCTTCCTGCTCTGGTTCGGATGGTACGGATTCAACCCGGGCTCGTTCGTCAAGATCCTGGTGCCCTACGAGGGCTCGAGCTTCCAGGGCAACTGGACGGGCGTGGGGCGCACCGCGGTCACCACCACGCTCTCGGGCTGCGCCGCGGCGCTCACCACGCTGTTCGCGCGGCGCCACTTCACCGGGCACTGGAACGTGACCGACGTCTGCAACGGGCTGCTGGGAGGGTTCGCTGCCATCACGGCGGGCTGCGCCGTGGTCGAGCCCTGGGCCGCCATCATCTGCGGCGTGGGCGCCTCGTGGACGCTCATGGCCTGCAACTATCTGGCCGCGCGCTTCAAGTACGACGACCCGCTGGAGGCCGCGCAGCTGCACGGTGGCTGCGGCGCCTGGGGGCTCATCTTCACGGGCCTCTTCGCGCGCCAGAAGTACGTGTCCGAGGCCTACGGGGCGGGGCGCGGCCACGGGCTCTTCATGGGTGGCGGCGGCAAGCTGCTGGCCGCGCAGATCATCGAGGTCCTGGTCATCGCCGGCTGGGTCTCGGCCACCATGGGCCCGCTCTTCTGGCTGCTCAAGAAGTTCAGCCTGCTGCGCATCTCGCCCGACGACGAGATGTCGGGCATGGATCTCACGCGCCACGGCGGCTCCGCTTACAACATCGAGGAGCCCGAGCTCCGCTTCAACTTCCCCAATGGCACCGCCGCCGCCGGCGACCAGAAGAAGAACAAGCAGCCCCCCTCCATCCCTATGGCTTAATTCCGATTTTTCCTTCCCATCAGCTGACACTTCTCTCTCGTCATCATGGCGTCTCTCGAATCTCTCAAAATTCTCAATCTCTCAAATCTCTCAAAATTTCAAATTCTCAAATCTTCAATCTCTCAAATCTCTCAAAATTTCAAATTCTCAAATCTTCAATCTCTCGATCTCTCGCTCCCTCGCCCTCCGACGTCTTCGTCGGCGGCACGGTGCCCCCCCATCCATTTGACAGTTACTCTGTTGTTGTACCAACGAAACGAGCAGTTGCGCCACTTGTAGACAGACAGACGGACGGACAGATCATGAGATCAGCCGACCCGGCTGCAATAATACCCGCCGACGGAAGGAGAGGAGGGGAGGGGAGAGAGCGGGTGGAGAGTTGGAGTTGTAGATAGTTTTCGCAATGGTTGCCAGGGTTTTCTGCAGCACATGCCTTCGTGCCTCAAAGCGTCTTGTTCGTGACGCAGAACCTTATTGTGACGCTTTCGATCTAGTTGGACATTTGCTTTCATGCTTGTAGAGATTTTAGTCCAATTCGTAGGCCGGGAATGGAAAAATTCCCGAATTAGTCAGACCAATTTATTCAATCTGGTGCACAGATGTGGTGCAATGTGTTTCGACATTCATCAAAAAATGTAAAATTGTGTCCGTGTTGTATACTTCTCGATGAGTCGTCTCCTGCTCTCGCTTCCCCCGGTCGTGTGGTCTTCTTCACGTTGGATTCAGTTACATGCGACGGTGTGGGCTCTTTGAACTGTAGTTTGAAGATCGAAATTTTCGGGAAATCAATGTTGGAAATTAACTCCTTTGAAGCTCATGAATGCTGATTGTATTGCAGCTGATAGCCGACCTGAGAGGTGCGCAATTCACATCGACGGGAAGAGACGCGCTCCTCCGTCTTGTTCATTATCCTCGTGTGCTGCCCTCAGTCAATTCTCGTTGTTCATGACACCTGGTTTTCGCTGGGATGAATATTCGATTAGAAAGTAAATTGCTGATATCTTCGTGTCTCTGGCCTTGATCACTCGCCACATGCTGCGTCTAGTCTCTTCACTCCAATTGTGGTGATTCGAGCACAGTTGACGCGTTATCTGCTTGATGTGGTGAGCTGCACACTTCAAACTGCAGGCAGATGACTTATGTATGTGCAAAAAGATAGGAAGGGATCTTCGCGACTGCTGTTCCGTGAGGGGCACAATGTACCAGCTGCCCGTGTGCGAAGGATGAGAGCTCCAGATGATACCGGGAGTATCCATGCTGACGACAGCGGGCATCAGCTTTTGTCGTACTGATCAACTCTGGGACGTGAACGAATTGGTTGCTTGTTCCTCGGATATCGTCATGATTGTTATCGTTGGCCAAGACATCTACGGATGGTCTTCGCCACAAGTTGCCCCCGGTACTCCTTTCGAGGCAGAAAACAGGCCCGGTCGTAGCTGAGTCCGGAGAGAGATGATCAAAGGAAGTTGGTGGGGTCATCCATTGTCCTGCCTGAAGTATCTTCTGTTGGAAATTGTCAGATTCTGTGTTTGACTTGTCTCCAAAGTCCGGTTGGGTAGCTTACGGTCGGTTGTTCACCGTGAGAAATCGAAGGACACATCTGCTGCGGGGTTTTTCACCCTTCGCCGTTCGTCTCCCCTTCGCGATCCTGTGGAGTCTCAGAGGGCATTGGTTCAGTTGTTTGCGGACGTCGACGCCTTTCCTCTTCACCCGTGAGCCATCGTTGTACAATGTCTACCTAACAGGCGATTGTTAACAAACCATGAATCGTTGCCATTTTGACGTGTTTCAGGAATCTTCCATGTTTCTCCCAAAGGTCAAGCGTTGTCGTCCGACACCGGCTACTGCTTCAGCGCCATGTACAGAGAACAGTCAGTGATTCGCTATGCCACGATATAATCTAGGTTAGACTTGTAAGTTGTCAGATGGTGATGATGGCCTTAATGTATGTTTGAACGCTTTTGTCTCTTCAATGATCGGTTAGAAACTGTCCCATTTGTCGTCTGATCTGTAGATGTATTAGAGGAAGGTGTTCGCAGATGGGTGTGGCGACGAAATCTGTGTCCATCAGTGAAATAGCTGAATCTTCTTAAAGACTTGTATAGATTTTGGCTTACATGTGCGAGCAAGCCTACACAAATTGAACATTTTCTTCCAGATGGTTGGGGACAAAGGGCAGATACTAAGTTTCAACCTTTCATCTAACTGACAGAGCCATAAGCATGGAAAATACATTTTTTGCGAAACTCTTCGTTTTTTTCCTTTCCAATTCAAGCATGCATCATCGCCGTCCTAGTTTTCCGGTTCAAGAGAAAACTGTCACATTTCCTCTCTGTGGTTAGAACAATGAAAATTGGCTCGCCCAACTCCTACTTTTCGTAGTTGGATTAGACTCTAAGAGGGGAACGATGACAAATGTCAACCAGGAGTCGAAGTGAGGTCAAACTCAGAGAACATGCATCCTTAACCATTTTCTGAGCAAGATGGAAAAAACCAACTTGTGGATCGAATCCGCATGCAATCTGCTTCTGCTCCGGACTCGAAGCACTGACGACGAATCTACGTGACCCTGTCTCCGTCCAAGTCGCAAGAAGCCTGCACCTCGTTAAAGCGCAAATACCTTCTTTTGGCCCGTAGCATATGATCCCCGCACCGCATCTACCGAAGGCGGAGGGGGTCAGAGCGTCAGTCCCTGGCCTTTGGAGCTTGTCGTCCACTGGACTACACTCAACCGACTTTGGAACGTTGTCTGCTGCCCGTCCCATCGCGACACGTGGCTCAACAAGAGCTACCACAAAGTCCAAAAGCCAACCCCTCCCTCTCCAAAGCGAAAGTGCCAAAAAATATATTCCCGGTCGGTTTTTCCATCTCGGCCATGGTGCACCGGACTTCGCCGGTCACCCCTGTTCTGCCCTGCCTCCATGGACGTCGGAGCAGCTCCTATCCAGCCACGTCATCGCATCGCTTTCATGTGTGCCGGGCAAGCTCCCGAGTTTAGTGTACGTGTGTATTTTCACTGCGGTCTTCCAATTCGCGGTAGTCTTCGAGTGTCCTCATTGGAGATGAGAAAATTATTTCATGGATCCTAGCAGAAAGCAGAACTTACAGGGGCTCAAAACATTTCATTTATATGATGGTCACTTCAACCACAGTCAAACATGTTCCCACTCGAATTCTTGTAACCACTGTAGCTTTGTTGAACAAAATAAATTTATTCCCTATGTTCAGTTAGTCACTGGTTGTCACCGAGTCACGTTAAAGACTTCATCGACCAAAATACTTAGAACGTGATTCCGGCCAAGAATTTTAGAATAAAAAGGAGAGAACTGTAAGTAAATAAGGTTCATATTTTATGACTGAAAAATCATTCTTGGCAGTGAGAAATTGGTCTCTCGAATGATGAAGATTGGCTAGCTGAATAAACACATAAATCTCAAACATTGTTCTCATATGACTTTGCGACAAGGTGTGCAAGCCTAATCGGAATTAGGCACAAGTTGTTTGAAGTTTCTATGTAAAAATCTACATCAATATCATCCTCGTGAACTGGTCACAAGAATGATACTGGCAGTCTATGTGGCAAGCATGCACTAGAAAAACGATTCACGTTTCAGCATGCCAACCAATCATGCTTTGTTTACAGATCCAACATCCATGTTTTCAAGTTGATTCTCACACTCAACATCTAACCATAATATGATGAGTCGAAAAAAGTACAATCGACTGCAGCGCCGTGTGTGTCAGAACAACAACAACTAGGCAATTAGAGATACTAGAAGTGATATTGGCAAATTTCATACTCGGGTTCATACAACATTGACAGGAGTATTAGGGAAGTACTAACGTAAACTATAATTATCAATTGACTACATATCAATGCTATAGATTTTATTATAAAAAATTTGTGTCAAACATGATCACTTATGATGATGTGATTGAAGAAAACGATAAATAAGAAGTTGTGATTGTTAAACCATACGAGAGAAAGCACAGGTCAATGGTCAAGTTTTTATTAGCATTAGATAATTTGATTCAATGTACAGAATATTCATCCCATTCGCGGGAAAGGCCTTCACAAAATCACGTAGTCTCACTAAATATATCCCTTGAAGACCAGTTACATTATACAAGAAGTAACAGGTAATTAAATTTTTTTCCTTTGAAGATGGAGTGAAGAAATATAACGTGGAGAAGAATGTGGGTACAATAACCCTTGTTCCTCTTGCAATGTCACGAGTAGATATAAGGTCATGACGACATCTATAAGCACACTTGCAAGGTCTAGTGTATTTCCAAGCTATTATACATGTATTCCAAATCGCTCCAGATCACCTTCTGGTGCAACTTGTGTATCGGATTCCAAGTGGGAGTCCACAACTCGGCACACTGAGTCACCAGAAGTGACAAAATTGCACAATCAGAAAGAAGATGATGGTGAGCGAGAGCAGCGTCAATAAACGGCACTTGTTTGCATCACCGTGCATAACGTGAGCACGGAACACTTCCAGATTCTCAGCCCAAGCCGAAGCCCGTATGACGAAACTCCTCACATGAATGTGATAAGATAGGTGGCAACCTTGTGGAGGCCAGAGCACCAGAGAATACCTGCAATCATCAGCCTCCTAGCCCACTAGCAAGACATGATGAGCCTGGAAGTAGTTTTTGCTCTCCTCGTGAATAAACAAGTAAATAGCAAAGGGCTGTTGGTAAATGACAGAAATGAATCCCCTCTAAAAAACACCATCCTGGGGTACATTCACCTCCTCAACATGAATGCGTCCCAAGCTGAAAGATAATATTACACAAAATAATATAAAATAAAATAAAATTATCGATATTTTTTTAAACAACTTCGCTCTCACCCATGAAATATTTTTGCTCAGCTTCGAGCGGAAAAAATTTGGTTTTAATTCTCTGGATTCCGGACCAGGAGGTCGGTTGCTGCTTAGGAATGAAACCTCGAAGCGCCCTCGAAGGTGCTAGGCGAGTTGACTTGCCTTGACTTCGAAAGTGGGGAGGGGCCACTGGAACCAATTGCGCTTTGGAGGCTCAAAGGGGGCTCCCCATTGGCGCCATTTCAACGCCTGAGCGTCGAGGGGCCTACAGGCGCACTTAGGACATCATGCCGAGGGTCGGCCTGATATCATTGCACGATAAAGACCGATGGGCTGACGGTCAGAGCCCGATCGTACTGTCTGCTCTTCATCATGAGAAGGATTCATCTTCCTTTGAGAAGGACCCTCATGCTCTCTAGAGAGAAGCAGTCCGGACTTCCTCTCTCCCTTGCGTCGTCTTGGGGCTCCATAAGGCAGGGATCATTTCTTCTATTCTAGACAAGGCTGTTATCTATAAGAAAGGACCAAATAAATAAGTAATAATATAAAATGTCCAGACCCATCGTCGATGCTTACGAATAAGAAAAAAAAACAGTTACTATTAGTTACGCGCCGTAATATTGTCATTGAAAATGTTATCCACAACACATACGATATGGTATATATCATAATTAAAAGCAATGCATATTATGCCTCAACAACTTGTGCGATGGTTCTGCTCTAAATAGCGTCTTTTTGTGTTTTTTTGGGGTGTGTTTTGGAGCGATAATAAAACTTTGAATACAATTAGATTCAGAACTTATATATGGGGTATGGGTAGTGCA